CTCTCACTTCTCTCTCTCTCTCTCATTGTGGAAGCAAAAGCATGTTGGCCACAAACACACATTCTCTCTCTCTCACTCAAACATTGGCATCTTGACAACATAGCCCCTCGGGGTGTAAGTAGGCAAGGCGGGCCCAACATGTTCTTCATGTTGCACATTAGCCTGGTTATGGATTTTTTATTTAGAAAAATATATTATGAGACTATTTTTATTTGTTTCAAGGGGGTCACAATCAGCTAATCACTCCTAATAATTAGATATTTAATTAAATGGTTTGGGATATTCTCAAAATCTAAAAATTTAATTTCTCAAATAAATTAATTTTTAAAAATATTGAGGGATGCTAAAATGCAAATTTTCATATGTTTAACAACAGAAAGTGGGTAATTTAGTCATTAAAAATTGTGAAGTATTATTGTAATAACTGGTAGAAACTGGGTACAGATGTAATGAAAAAAATGAACACTAAAATTTATATAACATTTGAGAAAAGGATATGTGCAAATTTTAATTTACCTATATAAGCTGGTGACTAAAATTACTACTACATGGCCTTATCGGCCTTTTTTCTCTCTTGTTTTTGCTTCTAACCTCAAGATAAATTGTAACACTTGAAAAATATAACCATCATTTAAGTGAATTCACCGAAAAAAGAATTATAAAAGAGAGTAATTGGTAATTTTAGATCGCTTTAACTTTTAATAGAGCACATATATTATGCTCTTTTGGGAGCATAGTTTATTTGTACTTCGAAGGACATATGACTTATTTGGAAGGATATTTTCAATCTAAAATAATGTGAAGGACATAAACATCACTAGAGGGATGAGTACTCTCAAAAAAATAAAAAATTAAAATTTGAGTTTTTAACATTTAGATCTCCCCTTTTAAAAATTGGATGGTTCACATTCAATCTTGAGATGGTACTTTTTTTCAAGTGGTTGTAGGGATCATTAGGAATGTGGTTAATCTATAGGTTGATGAGGTTATATTCCAAACTCTGAGGTACTAAAGCTAATTTTTAATTGAAGGAGTAGATACACAGTATACTCCGAAGCGACTATAATACTTTTTCACCTTTAAGTAATGGAAAACTTTTCTATTTAAATAAGAGGGTTAAAAGGAGGTTTCATCGTTCCTCTGTCTCTTTTCTCAAGATTCAAAACTCGAAAGCCAGAAGCTCCTCCGGCAAGTTTCTGCTAGTTCCGGGCGGCAGCTTCAACAGTCACAGGTGAGTCTTTTATTTATTTTGATTTTTTGTATCTAATATTCAGTAGTATTTAATATTTAGTGCTTTAGGTTTAGAAAATAGGAAAATAAGGAGACATTTGTTTCCAATTTCGGTTTAGGTCAAGAATGAGGGTTTTATAGTTTTGTATTGTTTTTTTTTTTTTTTCTTTTGGGTTTCAATTTTAGGTTATTAAAGAAGGGTTTTACAATTTGTAAAACCCCTCAAATTACTACACTCAAATATAAAAATTTGAACAAACCCTATCTTTTTGGTTTTTTTTAATATATTAGTTTTAACATTTGATATTGAAATTTATAAGGGCTTAGACGATGAATCCTAAATAAAATCCAAACAATGAAATAAGGAGAAAATTGAAATTGCAATATCTGTTTTAGTTTATGTTTTGTAAAGGACATTAATAAACCAGCAGAAAAATGAAAATGCGAAAAAACAAAGTGAAATACATATGGGGCATTTTTTTTGTTTTTCTACTTTTCTGTTTTCAATTTTTGGAATGGGAAATCGAAAATGCAGAAGAGAGAAATTAGAAAATCTTAGAAAACAGAAAAAATAAAATAAAATTTAAAAAGAAAAAACGGAAATAAAACAAAGGAAAAAATCGAGAAAAACTTTCTATTCTTCGGTTTTCTTTTATATACTAATATAGTTTTAGCTTTTAATGTTGTAATTTTCAATGGCTTAAATGCGATTCCTAAATAAAATCAGAAAAAATAAGAAAATAAAGAAAAATTGAAATTGAGTTATTATATTATTAATGAGTATTTATGTGTTATTTACAAATACTGTTAATGAGTATTTATTTATTTTTTCAAGAGTTATATTTGTTTCTAGTATTTCCTAATTTTTCTATATTTTCCAAATTTTCCTTATGTTACTATTTTATTAATTATTTAATTTCTTAGACCTCAATCTGTTTAATTTAACTTTGATTTATTCTTTTCATTATAAAGTCCTCTGAAATCCCATCTTCCCTAAACTCTCCACACTACTCTCCCTCTTCCCCAAACTCTGCACATTACTCTCCCTCTTCCCCTCCTTCCCCAAACTCTCCACATTACTCTCCCTCTTCCCCTCCTTCCCCCTAGTACTCTCTTTTTCCTAACTCTCCAGAAGACTCTCCCTCTTCTCCCCAATACTCTTCCTCTTTCCCCAACTCTTCCGAATACTTTCCCTATTCTCCCCAATACTTTCCCTCTTCTCTCCAATACTCTCCCTCTTCCCCAAACTCTCCACACTAACTCTCCCTCTACCCCTCC